AACAAAACACCCCATAAAACAATATTTTGTGTTTATTTACCGAATAGTTTTGGGCCAGTATTAATACAGTGAACTTTTTATTAGTGTAACATTTTGATTGTTGCGGGAACTCCTCCCCACCCCCCTGCCATTGTTTGGATCAGCTATTTTGCTTTCCTTGACAATATAGCCACAGTGACTGTTATTTACCAGTTGACTATTATCTTTTTGATTCCTCTCTCTCTGTTTTAAATGTATCTTTTAAAAGGTTCAGTACAGAGTTAATTTGGATTGGTGGTTGTAATTAAGATGCTTGACTGCTTTAAGACAAAATTCTTTTATTTTTCATTTTTGTTTGCATCCTATAATGTTTTTGGTTGTCAGCTAAGAGTTATTTTAAGAATGTTAATGGTAATAAATGTTGGAAGTATAAATTTTCTCTTTTTGCACTCCGTGCTGAAATACATTTTTTCTTTTGCCCTTTCCTTTGGACTAAATTAATCAGGGTTATAACCTTCCTCACTTTTTTATTGGCAAGCATATATTTCCTCTGTTAAATCTAATTCCACTTAACGCTCAGTTTTTTGGAAGTCTTGGCTGTGCTGTTTAAAAAAAAAATAGAAGTTGCCGATTTCCTGAAATCCTACCTGTCTGAAAGAGATTGTTCCTTCAGATGAACACAAGGATGTGGGTTGATAATATGTTCTGTGTGAAACCTTTTCTTTCTTATACTTTAGAAACACTTTTTCACAGTTTTAATTCATAATATTATAGGAGAAACATTTTTTTTACATCATACTAGTCCTATTCTTTAAATTAAAGCTTTCTTATCTTTATGATCGTTAATTCTTTGAATTTGCATCCAGGATATATGTGTTAGTGTTTCTATGTTAATTAGTTTTGCCAGCAATATGTTGTGATCACCTTCAGTCTCCAGGCAAGCCAGTTTAAAAGTCTGGAGAAGTGTTTTATTGTTTTGTTTAACTTGACTTTCTTTAAAAAAAAATTATTTTCTTTACATTTTTTAGTATCCAGTAACAACTGAATACTTTTTGTTTTATGCTTTTAATTCATTATCTTCTTTGTTTTTCATTATCTTGGAAAATTTCTACACAATTCTAGCTGTCATTCTTACATCACTTTGCTTTCTTTGATACAATCTGTCATTCTCTTTCACATGCCAGAATTATATATAATATTGCTGAGACCAGTAGTGGGTACTTAATTATCTTATTCTGTTCTGTGAAAGCACTGTATTATAGTGGTTAAAAACTTAAAGCTGTCGAGTCAAAATCTGTTTTTTTAAGTTAGTATATTATTTTTGGCAAGTTATTTGACTTCCCTAAATCATTGTATAAAATGTTAATATTTATCTCACAGGGACATTGATTTAATGAAATGATACCTATAAAATTCCTGTATAATGCCTAAAGCAAGTACCTAAATAATCATTATGGAGTTAAAAATTATTATTATTATGTGAATGGTTGTGAAAGCGGTATCTTCTCTCCGTTGGTTCATTCCCCAAATGTCTACCAACAGCCAGGGCTGGGCCAGGCCAAAGCCGGGAGCCCGGAACCCAATCCAGGGGCCCCTGCTTGGGAAGCAGGGACCCAATACTTGCTACAACACCTGGTGCCCTCCCTGATTGTGCATTAGCAGGAAGCTGCAATCAGTAGCAGAGCACGGTCTCCAACCCATGCACACTGATACGGTACCCAAGTGTGGCCTAATTGCTGCATCTGGGGCTCCATTTGAGTCTCCTACATGGGTGGCAGGTGCCGAAACACTTGGGTCATCCTCCACTGCTTTTCTCAGCCATTAGTAGGGAGCTGAGTCTTAAGTGGAGCGGCTAGGTAAGGAATTGGCACCCATATGGGATGCCAGTGTCACAGGCAGCTTAACCTCCTATGCCCCCTGCATAGGTAGTTTTATTAGAAATTGTCAGATTCCTTTTGCTGGGGCCATGGCACTTTGCATTGCTGCCAATAATGTAAGAATGTTTCTGTATATCTTTGCCAATAGGGTGTCTTATTCAGCTTTTGAATGTTTACCTCTTTTGGGGAGTAAAATGGTATCGCAATGTATTTAAATTTTCATTTCTCTTTGAAGTTGGTCATTTTTTCATGTGTAATGGATAGTTTATCTCTTTTTACTTGTCCTTTTGTGCATTTCATCATTTATTGAAAATTATGGTGATTTCCCTGTGCACATCTCACCTTATTAAAGTATTCTTTATAAATTAGGTATAGAAGGCTTTTATCTGCTTGTCTTTTTCCTTTGCTTGTTATGTTTTGCCTTACAAAGTTTGTTTTTATGTCATTTATCAAGTTTCTATTCTGTTTTTGAGTCATAAGAAAGCCTTTTTCTGTAGGTAATCAGATAACAGGAATCACTTGTTTTGTCTAGTATTTACATCACTTTTTACACTGAGATCTCTAATCCGTTTGGAGCTGATGACTGTATACGGTATACCTTCTCCAGTTGAATATTAGGTTTTCCTTAAACCACTTATTAAAGACTCTTTCCCCCGCCGGCGCCGCGGCTCAATAGGCTAATCCTCTGCCTTGCGGCGCCAGCACAACCGGGTTCTAGTCCCGGTCGGGGTGCCGGATTCTGTCCCGGTTGCCCCTCTTCCAGGCCAGCTCTCTGCTATGGCCAGGGAGTGCAGTGGAGGATGGCCCAAGTCCTTGGGCCCTGCACCCCATGGGAGACCAGGAGAAGCACCTGGCTCTTGCCATCGGATCAGCGCCATGCGCCGGCCATGGCGGCCATTGGAGGGTGAACCAATGGCAAAAGGAAGACCTTTCTCTCTCTCTCTCTCACTGTCTACTCTGCCTGTCCAAAAAAAAAAAAGATTCTTTCCCCACGGAGTTGAGAATTCAGATTCAAGTTTTAGATTTGGTTGAGATTACATCTGTAATTTCTTTTCCATTCTATGAGTCTGTCAGTGTACCAAAGCCGTACTGGTTTAATTACAGAGGCGTTATAGATAACTTTGGGTCCTCTTCAGAGCTTTTCCTTTTCACACAAGTTTCCTAACTGTTCTTGAATATTTGTTTTTCTGTGTAGACTTTAGGATCAACCTATCTAGCTATAGTGAAACCCTCTTTAGAAATTTTTTTATTGGAATTATATCATTCATTCATTAAGTTAGAACTGATGTCTTAATAACATTAAGAATTCCCAGCCAAGAATAAGGGATGTCTTTGAATTAGTGAAATCTAATTTTGTGTCGTTTAGAGAGTGTTTTGTAATTTTCTTCATAGATTTTGAACATTTCTTAAGTTTTATTAAATATCTGTTATTGGTACAATAAGTAGAATTTTCTCATTTGTTTTTAAAACTGGTTAAGTGAATTCTAGTAACTTTCACATGCTAATTTTATATACGTTGTTCTTTTATGATTTAATCATCAATTCTCTGAGATTTTGAGTATACTGTCTCATCATTTATTAAGTAGAGTTATTTCTCTTTTTCTTAGTCTCATGTTAATTTGTTTCAATGTTTACATTGGTTTCAGAATCAGGTTAAATAGTAATGGATATAGTGGGTGTTTATGCTTTGTTTCTGGCCTTAGTGGTAATGCCTCTGGAATTTCTGCAACAAAGATGCAGAAATTTCTAATTTTTCTCAAAGAGTTTTTTTTATTAGGTATGTGTTTTGATTTTTCTCTAAAGACTTTTTTCACATCTGTCAAAATATTTTTCTCAGACTTATTAATCCTTTAGTAGATTTTAAAATCTATCATTTTTATTTGAAAGGCAGAGTGATACATGCACATGTACAAAGAGAAAGAGGGAGAATGAGAGAGAAACACTAATCTTCATCTCATTCACTCCCTAAATGCCTCAACAGCTTTGGTTTTGTCAAGCCAAAGTCAGGAACTCCTTCCAGATCTCCTACTTGGATGTCAGGGATTCCTTTCGTGAGCCATTGCCTGCTGCCTCCCAGGAGCATTAGCAAGAAGCTGTATTGGAAGTGGAAATGAGAGCAGGACCCAATCTCAGGCATTTTGATAGGGGATTTAGGATTCCCAAGTAGCTACCTAACGTGCTATACCACATTGCTCACTTCATTCTTGGATTTCTTGTATATACCCAACTTAAACATAACTTACTGTTCTCCTTTTTAAAAAAAATATTTTCATCTGCTTGCAAGCAGGGGGAAAGAAGGGAGAGGAGAGAAAGAGAAGGGGGGAGAGAGAGATTCCAACCATTGGTTCACTTTCCAAATAACAGATATGCCACAGTGCTGGCCCCTCACACTACTGTTTTTAAATGCATTCATTCTAAATCTGTAAGATTCACAGATCTTTGGATCTTGTCTTTAAATGAGCATCCCCTTCATTTTAACCCAAAGGCTCAAAAAGATAAGGTTCCTTTTAACTGATTTTAGAGTTGAAAATTGGAGTGGTTACTGAGATCCCTGCAGTTTATTGGCCTGTAAGACTCTTTAGCTCATAGTCATATAAGACTTTTTGGCTGGCCTCAGACTGGCCTTGTACTTGATAAACAGTTGTACTTTTGTAAGGATAGGTCCATTTCCTTTCTTGAAAATATGATGAGCCATTGTTGGATTTTGATGTGAAGTGATTATTTTTACAATTTCAAATATGAAGTCATGTGGTTGAGTAAGGCTGTTGCTTAGAGTTCTTGTTTTTCATTTTGAGTATACCGTGGTTGGTTGAGTAAACTTACTCCACCCATGTTAGTTCCTGAGTCTGGAAAATGTTTCATTTTTGAAGTTTGGGTCACTTTATTCTTATTTCCTTTTACATTTAGGTTTTCCTAAATGTCCCCATCTCCTACATTTTCTTGGATTCAGTCTAAATATTCTGAGAAAATGTCTAATGTTCCAATCAAACTACTTTTTCAAAATAATATACCCTATATTGATTTTATAAGAATTAAAATCTAATTTGTAACCCAAAAATGTCATTGACTTCAAAAAGGTTAAATACTGAACTGCATTTATCAGTGTGTAATAAACTATTTTGTGTTTATTTTTCTGGTGTTTAGAATTGCAGAATTTGTGTAGAGTGTGGCACGCGATCTAGTTCCCAGTGGCACCACAATTGCCTGATATGTGACAGTTGTTACCAGCAGCAGGATAACTTGTGTCCTTTCTGTGGGAAGTGGTACCATCCGGAATTGCAGAAAGATATGCTTCATTGTAATATGTGCAAAAGGTAAGAAGAAATAGTTACTCAATTTAATTATTTTGTCAATTCTTTTATCACGTGATCATTTGTGTGCTACCAGATAACTTGGAGCTTCTAAGTTTTTATTACTCCAGGCATCCCATTAGTCCTGAGTATTTATTTAGATGGAATTAAATTATGTTTTTATGAGTTTGGAAGGCATAAAGTGCTGGCAAAGAAAAGCCCAGATCAGAAATCTGGTGGTAAAAATGTCAACTCTTCTTTTAAAAACCAGTGCCTGTTATCAACCCCTATAACCTTTGTCTTCTCATACTTAACCTTTGTCTTATCCCTTCTCAAATTATTTTTCAGCAGTTGCCTCTCCTTTTCCTAGATGTTAACTTGACTGTAAATTAGAAATTTTTATTTAAATATACTTATCACTACAGATGGGTTCACTTAGAATGTGACAAACCTACAGATAATGAACTGGATTCTCAGCTCAAAGAAGAGTATATCTGCATGTATTGTAAACACTTAGAAGCTGAGATGGATCCATTACATCCAGGTGATGAAGTGGAGATGGCTGAACTTAATACAGGTAGACTTGAAAATTTTTTTATAGTGCTGTAGCAACCAGTCCCAAACCTCTTACTTTAATTATAATCAAGGTGTCCTATGTATCAGATCCAGATTTTCTCAGTATCTCAGTCTTTCAGTGTATTTGATACCTTGATCTTGATTGATACCTTGATTGATACCTTGATTGATACCTTGATTGATACCACAATCTGGCCGCTAAATTTTAACTTCCTTAAGTCCTCTTAGTATTTGAATTTCAGATCTAGTGTGCTTCCCTTCAGTTGTATTCTTTAGGCCAACTTTATAATTTTTGTCTTCAAAATATAAATGTATATTTGATTTATTGCAGAAAATCCTGAAGAAAAACTTAGGGCAATTTTTTGATAATTTATACTCAGTAGAATACAGTGATAATGTTGCCTTAGTTAACAAAATCAGAAAAACTCATCTCCATAACTTTTTTTTTCTGTTAAGATTATAGCAATGAAATAGAACTGGAAGGAACTGAAGATCAAATGGTATTTGTGGAGCAAACAGTTAATAAAGATGTCAGTGGTCATGAACCCACGCCTGGAATTGTTCCAGATGGTAAGAACATTTGTATTATACTCTATTTTTGAACATGATGTGGATATATCTACTAAAACTTGAGTATCCTATAAAAAATTAGATGTTGTTTAGAAGAAAGCTGCTTTTCTTTCTTTCTTTTTTTTTTTTTTTTAAAGATTTATGTATTTGAAAGAGAGAGAGAGATGGGGGGAGAGAGAGATCTTCCATCTACTGGTTTACTCCCCAAATTGCAGAAACAGCCTGGGCGAGTCCAGGCTGAAACCAGGATCCTGGAGCTCCATCCTGGTCTCCCACATGGGTGTCAGGGTCTCGAGGACTTGGACCATCCTCAGGTGCATTAGCAGGGCCCTGTTTGGAAGTGGAGCAGCTGGAACTCAAGCCTGTGCCCTTATGGGATACCAGCATTGCAGGCCATGGCTTAACCTGCTGTACCCCAGAAGGGAGCTTTTTAGTAAGATAATCTTAGGCAGAAATTAATAGAAAAAAGTCATGTTACACTTTTTTGTTTAAATTGTAATCTCAGTTTAATCATAGTGCATGCTTTATTTTGGGATCAAATGTTTTTCTTTTTCCGTTGAAAAGCAATTCATTTCTTTATACTTAAAATTGCTAACTATCTGTAGCCGATTATGAGATGTTTAATCCCGAGATAATACAAATTGTATTAGATCATTTCAGCAGTCTTTTCGAGAGTTCGGTTATATTTCAGTTCAGCTTTTTGCTGTATTGATAACAGCTGTTGTATTTGAGGGTCTGGAATTAATGAGAGACCATTTGAGGAACAGTACTTACTTTAATCATTAAATTCAAATTTAACAACTCACATTAATAGTTAAACTTCATAAAATGAAAACTGAAGACTGAAAACCAGCTATAAATAAAAATCTTGCAGTGCATAAACAGATTCCTAGTTTTAATCTTTGTACCAGGAATAAATGATGCATTGCATTAACAGACTCCTTATTTCATTCTCATAACCTACTTAATGAATTTAATTGGCATTTAGTAGTAGAATAAAAGTCTGCTAAAATTGTTGGGACAGTACTGTTACAGGAGTTTGGACTCTTTGTTAGACTTTATATGAATATGTTGTTTGCAGCAATTCAAGTCCACACAGAAGAACATCAGAAGAGTAATCTACCTGAAATCCTTGACAGTAATGGTCTTCCTGTTTCTGGTGAGCAGTATTTTCATATGATCTAACTTGTTTGAATTATGAAGTAATGCCTTCTTTATGACTATTTTGTGTACTTGTGAAATTGTCCACTGAATTATCTTTCAAATTATCCAAAAGACATATTTGTAGTTGCAGTATATACATACAGTAATTATATATATATATATATATTTAGTTATGTTGATTCTTAAACAATAGACGGTACATCTAAAAGAGGTTAAGTTCTTCTATAAAAGGTTTTTTTGGTCAAAAGTATTTATTACCATCAGATCTGTTACTTGGTATTTTTCCTTTCTCTCCAACTGTTGGATTTCAGTAAAGCAGAAATAAGATGTGACATTCCATTTTGATACTAGAACGTAGATAAGTATAGTCATTGACTGGTAAACAATAAATGAGAAAGTTAATGACTTTATTAATTTAAAAGATATCCTGAATACATTTGAAATAAATACTACTTCTTTATCTTCAGCAGTCCCATTTTAGAGAGCCACATAGGTCTCATGTCAGGTTGGGTTAAAAGTTTAATATACTGTTAATTTGATTTGAAATTTACCGGTCAATGGCCATGTATCTCTGGTATCTAAGTATATTTATAGACTGGCTAAGATTAGTCTATAGGCAATGAAAAAGAGTAAGGATTATTTCAAAATTTATTTGCTAGCTTAGTGGCTATAAGCAAAGTGTTCTTGGTTAGTAATTTTTTTCTGTCTGTGCTCATTACTTATCTGAGTCTATAGAAGATTTGGTACAACTGCAAATATTGTTGCTCTCTCAGTCAGTTTTCACTTTTTAACTGGGACAGCTTTCCTGCCTTCACTGATCCTCATTTTCCTAGTGTAAAATGATAGCTTCACCTATGTAATTTCAGTCTTTGTGTAAGTGCTTATATTGTAAAACACTATCTACATAGCAGGTTATATCAGTAATTCTGTTTTAGTATTTTTACCTAAAATTACCTTAAACTCAATTTCTTCATGAAACCAAGTTTTCATAAGGTTTTCTGGGCTCTGTGACTGATGTTATCCATAAATCCTTACATACAAGTCTTTGGAACTTTATTAGCTTAATTATTTTTCTTGATGAATGCCTTTTGATATAAACCATGGTTTAAACAGATAACATACCTATATTCACACATTGAAATTTTAAAGTTTATGTGTGCATTAACATAAGAAATATCCTGAATTTTTTAGAATCACCCCAAAATAAAGTGAACACTGAATTGGAAAATCAGAGTCCTCATGAAGTTGATAAGGAAAAAATGGAAATGCCATCTAAATTGATTCATATTTGTGATGAAGATCAAAATGAAAAAATGGAAGTAACAGAGAATGTTGAAGTCCTTACTCACCAGATCATGGTGCAGCAAGATGAACTGCACGTGTTAGAGGAACCTAAAACTGAGGCGTCCAGAAAAGAACCAGAATCACCAACATCAGTTGTGGAATCTGTCCCTGCACTACCTGAGACTTCAGCGTCTCTGAGTGAGGAAAGTACTTTGGTGTGTTCTAAGGAACAGTTGGTAACAGAAAGGGTACAAGAAGGAATGGACCAGAAAGAAGGTGCTCAACTTTCCGCTACGTTTATGGACTTTGAAATGACTCCTTCAACTGAGAGTTGTGTGAAAGATGTTTCATGCCAAGGAGACAAATCTACATCATCTGAAGCACAGTCATCACTTTCATCATCAGCAGATCTAAACAAGGCAAATGTGTCATCTTCTCCAGCACTTTGTTCAGACTTGCCTCCACAAGACATTCTGCACAGTTACCCATCAACTCTAAGTTCTTCTGTTGGAAACATCATGCCAACAACATACATCTCAGTCACTCCAAAAATTGGCATGGGTAAACCAGCTATTTCCAAAAGAAAATTTTCTCCTGGTAGACCTCGGTCTAAACAGGTAGGGTGACTTCGGTGGCATTGCCTGAAAAGATGTTGGAGCAGTTGTATAAAGTAAGAAGGTATATGTACAGCTTTGGTTTATAGGGCAACCTTTTCTGTCCTCAAAGGGGACTTAGGTGCCATATCGACTTACTTGTTTGTGCCATTATTTTTTTTTTTTTATTTTTTTTATTTTTTGACAGGCAGAGTGGACAGTGAGAGAGAGACAGAGAGAAAGGTCTTCCTTTGCCGTTGGTTCACCCTCCAATGGTCCCAGCGCCCGGGGCGCTGGGGCCGGCGCACCGCTGGGATATGATGGCAGGAGCCAGGAGCCAGGTGCTTTTCCTGGTCTCCCATGGGGTGCAGGGCCCAAGCACCTGGGCCATCCTCCACTGCACTCCCTGGCCACAGCAGAGGGCTGGCCTGGAAGAGGGGCAACCGGGACAGAATCGGGCGCCCTGACCGGGACTAGAACCCGGTGTGCCGGCGCCGCTAGGCGGAGGATTAGCCTAGTGAGCCGCGGCGCCGGCTGTGCCATTATTTTTTTGATGCTCTTAATGAGGCGTGTTATCAATGAAAGTTAAATGTGATCTTTAATTTAGAGTTTCATATTAGTTGGGACATAAAAATGTGATTTTAAGAAAAACTTGTATTGGAAAGACAGATGGATCTTCCATCCACTGGTTCATTCCCCAAATGTTTGCAATAGCTGGGGCTGGGCCAGCCAAAGCCAAGAGGCAGGAACTCCATCGGGGTTTCCTTTGTTGATGTCAGGAACACAAGGACTTGAGCCTTCACGAGAGTTGGAACTGGAACCCAGACACTTGGACTTATAAGATTTGGGCATCCCAAGTAGTGTCTTCAAACTATTGTGCGAAATACCTACCACAATTTCCAGTTCTTTTAACATGGGATTTAAGAGAAGCTGTGCAGTAAAATCAACATTTTAGATGAGAATGAATTACTGTCTACAAATTCATTACTTTTTATTTTTTATTTTTTTTCAATTTTTGACAGGGAGAGATAGAGACAGAGAGAAAGGTCTTCCTTTTTCCATTGGTTCACCCCCCCCAAATGGCCTCTATGGCCGGCGTGCTGCGCCGATCCGAAGCCAGGAGCCAGGTGCTTCCTCCTGGTCTCCCATGCGGGTGCAGGGCCCAAGTACTTGGGCCATCATCCACTGCCTTCCCAGGCCACAGCAGAGAGCTGGACTGGAGGAGGAGCAACCGGGACTAGAACCCAGGGTGCTGGCGCCGCAGGCGGAGGATTAGTCAAGTGAGCTATGGCGCCGGCCAAATTCATTATTTTCTGAAGTAATTTTAAACAAGGCAAGCTATCAAACAATTGTTCAGTCATATTAATTTGCAGTTTTCAATCTCATGATTTAAATAATTAAATAGGAATAGTATCTTAATGTAGTTTTTGAATTGTAACACTAGTTTAAAAAAATCTAACTTCACATTGGTGTGAAAATTAATTTCCAAGTAAAACCAAAATATTTTATTCTCTATATAAGTTACATTAATGGCAAGGAGTTGCCACATGGGGTTAGTTATTTCTCTATTCCAAAGTCATATACGGTGAATCAAAACACTTTAGTTTTTGAAGTGGCTGGCATTGTGGCATAGTGGGTAAAGCTGCTGCCTGTGATGCTGGCATCCCACATGGCCACAGGTTTGAGTCACAGCTGTGTCTCTTCCAGTCCAGCCTGGGAAAGCAGTGGAAGATGGACTGAGTGCTTGCCTCCCTGACACTCATGTGGGAGACTGGATGAAGTCCCTTGGCTTTAGCCTGGTTGAGCCCTATCTGCTGTGGCCATTTGGGGAATAAACCAGTGGATGGACGTTCTCTTTCTATCTCTCCCTCTCTCAGTGACTCTACCTTTCAAATAAATTACTAAATATTTTTTTTAAAAATGCTTTGAAAAGCCTCATATTTTCATTTAATTGGAAAGAGAGAGCTAGTGAGTGAGCTTCCATCCATTGGTTCATTCCCTGAGTGCCTTACATGCCCAGAGATGGGACAGATGGAAGCCTGGAGCCTGGGACGTAATCCATGTTGGTGACAGGGATCCTCCTGCCTTTTAGAGTGTGCATTAGTAGGAAGCTGGACTCGGAAGTGGAGCTAGTACCTGAACACAGGCACTCCGGAATGGGATGCAGGCATCCTAAGCATCATCTTAACTGCTGTGCCGAATGTTCATGCCTAAAAGTCTTCTGTGTATGCTCTTTCTCCAAGTATTTTTCTTGATATTTACTTTTGTTCTACCAAGAGTTTTTTTTTTTTTCTAATTGTCAAGCCAGTTCATCTCCTTATTAGTCTTTGTTTTTGTTTTGTTGGAATAGTTGTGTAACAGTTATGTAGTTCTGACTCAAAAGACTTTAGCAATGAAAATCTATATTTCAAATTTGCTTTTGGTTCAGATAGTTTCATTCTTTAAAGTTATTGCATAAATAATCTTGTTAAATTTTACTTCTTACTTGGAGACTTCTGTTACAACTGAGAAATCAGGTTCTATTCATTAGTATAATTTTTCTCTTTATGTTCCAAAATATCATGTGTGTATTTGAGTCTTCCAGCTCATCCCATCTTATATATAACCCATGATCTAATATTTGCTATCGCTTCTGCTGAATGCCTTAAATTAATTCTGATAATATTCGGCTTTTTATTTAGCTGCTGTTTTTCTCACTGCTGTGTTATGATTTGCTGCTAATTTCTTTAATAGTTTGTTTCTCTTCTCTTCAGCTTTTTAGTCATGTGGCACTCAGCCTTCACTTGGTGATTCATGACTTGCTAATATACTATTGTTATTGTAGCGAGTATGCGTCGAATAAGATGAGATAGCTTTTCCAGTGCTTGGGTACTGGTGCTGTAATATTCGGAACATCACAGAAATGTGTTTAACCTTACATTGTAAATACTGAGGTCCATTGTTTGGATTTCCTTAAAGTCAGGCACTTATGTATTTCTTTTTTTTTTTTTTTTTCCTTTAAAGATTTATTTATGTATTTGAAAGGCAGAGTTACAGAGAGAGAAAGGATAGAAAGAGATCTCTGTCCACTGGTTCACTCCCCCAGATGGCTGCAACAGCCGGAGCTGTGCCTGTCAGAAGCCAGGAGCTTCATCCAAGTCTTACACGTGGGTGCAGGGGCTCAACCACTTGGGCCATCCTCTGGTCTTTTCTCAGGCACATTAGGGATGGGAAGTGGAGCAGCTGGAACAGGAACTGGTGCCCATAGGAGAAGCCAGCACTGCAGGTAGTGGCTTTATCCACTATGCCACAATGCTGGCCCCTCCTCTCTCATTTTATTTAGTTTTTATTTTACAAATTTTTGTCAGTGGGGACTGGCTATAAAATGAGATGGATTTTCTTGGCAATGATCATAATGTAAGCAATATTCTTTGGCTTCCACCTATTTTTGTTTAGTTTTAAAGGTGTATTTTTTTATCGAAAGGCAGTTACAGAGAGAGGAAGAGATAGAGAAAAGGTCTTTCATAGCCTGGTCCAATCCCAAATGATCACAATGGCTAGGCCTGGGCCAAGCTGAAACTCCACCCTAGTCTCCCAGGTGGGTGACAGGGGCCTAAGTACTTGGTCCATCTTCTGCATTTTCAGGAACATGAGCAGGAAACTGGTTCAGAAGCTGAGCAGTCAGAATTAAATTGTTTCATAATGGTTGGATCTTAATATTCATCTTAATTTTCTGTTTCTGTACTTGCTTTCCAATGAATTCCTTTCAAAATTAAATGGATAATTAAAAACACAATCTGAAAAATTTTAAGTTTGATGTTATAGCTGTTTATCAGATTATTGTTATCTAGAGATAAATTAGCCAGTAGAAGTGTCAGCTGATGTCTAATATAAATACAACACAAACCACATATATGTAGTTTTGTAATAGTGACACACAAACAACAGAATTCTAATATATTTTATTTAATCAAATATACATTCAAAATATTTCATCATTTAATTCACATAAAATGAACGCAGTCTTTATTCAGTATTTGAAATCTGGTTTGTTTTCCACATGTAACATGCTTTAATTTAAGTTAGTATGTTAGAAGTACAAAATAGCCACATAAAACTGATGGTTAATTACTGGCTGGTACAAGACAAAACATCTAGAGAATTATGAAAACATCAGTTCCTGAAGTACTGCAGAAATTAAAATAAATAAGATGAATTTATGATTGATAAGCTAAGACAGTTATGTTTTCGTTACTTTTAAGGACTGAGGTAGAAAGATTGGTTCTTCAGTTTCTTGTAGGACTCGTTTTGATTTCTATTAAAGCACTTACTGTAGCAACAGATCTCCTTTGTATTTTCATTGTATATAGTTATCATATACATGTAACCTAATATGGAGGTTTTTTGGGAACAGACATCAGTTAAATTATCCTTTTAGGATGTTAGTAATAAAATTTAGCATTCTAGCCGGCGCCAGGGCTCAATAGGCTAATCCCCCGCCTAGCGGTGCTGGCACACTGGATCTCTAGTCCCGGTTGGGGCGCCGGATTCTGTCCCGGTTGTCCCTCTTCCAGGCCAGCTCTCTGCTGTGGCCAGGGAGTGCAGTGGAGGATGGCCCAAGTGCTTGGGCCCTGCACCCCATGGGAGACCAGGAGAAGCACCTGGCTCCTGCCTTTGGATCAGTGCGGTGCGCTGGTCGGTCGCAGAGCACCGGCTGCGGCGGCCATTGGAGGGTGAACCAACGGCAAAGGAAGACCTTTCTCTCTCTCTCTCTCTCACTGTCCACTCTGCCTGTTAAAAAAATTAGTGTTTTATATTCTACCTTTTATATTTGATTTTTATATGGAAAATTTTAGGGAGGAATATGATTACTTTCTTGTGATATTTCAAATAGACCTGCAGTGCACGTTTTAGAACCTTTCTGGCCAGAGGAATAGTTAACTTGTTTTCTTTGTGTGTTCTGTTATCTTGCTCATTTCAGATACCAAATTTCAACAAAGATATACACGTGATAGATTGTAGGAGAAAAATTTTTGGAGCAATAATGGTCATCAAGTTACACATTGTTTTGTAAAAATTGTCTAAATGAATCAGTTGTATTGTCTTTAAGTTGTAGATTTTTGGATATTTCAGTATTTCCTTTGTTACTGATATATGCATGTTGGGACTTGAGTTTTGAAAAGTGATTCTTGACCCTGTCACACTGATTGCCAGGGAGCTTGTGGTTTTTTGTTTTTTTTTTGTTTGTTTGTTTTGTTTTTTGACAGGCAGAGTGGACAGTGAGAGAGAAAGGTCTTCCTTTTGCCGTTGGTTCACCCTTCAATGGCTGCCGCGGCTGGCGCACCACGCTGATCCCAAGGCAGGAGCCAGGTACTTATCCTGGTCTCCCATGGGGTGCAGGGCCCAAGCACTTGGGCCATCCTCCACTGCACTCCCTGGCCACAGCAGAGAGCTGGCCTGGAAGAGGGGCAACCGGGACAGAATCCGGCGCCCCGACCGGGACTAGAACCCGGTTGTGCCGGCGCCGCAAGGCGGAGGATTGGCCTAGTGAGCCGCCGCGCCGGCTGCCTGGGAGCTATTAAGATGTCAATGTAATAGCCCAACTCTAGACCAGTTAAAACACAGTCCCTGAGGATCTTCATTGACCTTAACCCTAAAAGTGAAGTTTTCAATTTTAAAGAACTGTTACACTTTTCCTTTAGGTGTTAGACATAATACTATAAGTAGTATAGTATCATGTGTGTATAATACTACATAAAAGGCTGTTACAGGCTTTCTTATCCAATGTGTTAACCTCAAAGCTAAAGTCTTATACCTCTTTTTATTAAACAAAAAAAACTAGTTTTTTAGAAGACTTTTTTATTTATTTAAAAGGCAGAGATAACAAGAGAGAGAGTGAGCGAGCGAGCGCAAAAGTGCTTCTATCTGCTATTTTTTTTTCCTCCTAAAATGGCTGCAATGGCAGGGGCTCTGCAAGACCAGGTGCTTCTTCCTGGTCTCCTGCATAGCTGCAGGGGTCTTGGACCATCTTCTGCTGCTTTCCCAGGCTTATTAGCAGTGAGCCGAATTGAAAGTGGAGCAGCCAGGACTCAAATCAGTGCCCATGTGAGATGTCGGCACTGCAGACAGAGGCTTAATCTTCTGTGCCATAGTGCCAGACTTGAGAACTAAATTTTTAAATTATCCTGTCTGAATGATGAGAGATGCAATTCTTGATAAGCTATTTCAGTACATGTTTTAAGTTTGATTATTTCATATCTAGCTTTTTATTAAGATAAATGTGAATTTTGCAATATTGCTTTATTTAATGTATACAAAGTAGCATGTATTTAAGAAACCAATTCTTTGAAACAAAACAACCGTGGGTAGTTTTAATTTTCCATTCTTGGATACTCTAAAGGTAAAATGTACATATTAGATACTTTTAGAACCCACTAATGATTTCATTAGTAATATGTAGATATATGAAGGTTCTTCAAAAAGTTTATGGAAAATGCCCATTATTCTGCACCAAATGAACTTTTAATTTTATTTTTCTGTAAACGTTTTGAAGAACCATTGTAAATTCCCTTTTTAAGGAAAATAAAAAAAATGTAATGTGGATGCCATCAGTGATTTCTACATGTATTATAGTTTAAATACTACTCTTTTTAAAAAGTGACTTTTTAGAAATGTTTTGTATTCTTTATTCCTATTTTCTAAGTTTAGTTGGAAAGACTGATTCATTAAAATATTCACACTGAATTTTTATCATGTAATTGCTTAGATTGAAACCCTTATCCTCTCACTATTATCTTACTACGTTAACTTGTTTATCTATAAAAGTATTTGGTTATAATTTAATAACATAAAGCAGCAGTCATGTAGTAAATGCTACTACTTTCTTATATTTCAGAATAATGCATATAGTCTTTTGAGATGGAGACTTGAGAAGATACTATAATAATGTTAGATGTTGCTCTGAAGTAATGGCCCTAAAACCAAATAAGTTGCCTTGTAATTATTTTTACTGAAAATAGTAATCAGAGTAACTACATAGCCTTGACTGTGTGAAACACCAATCACTGTAAAGACAACACGTGAAAATACCCCATATGGGTGCTGGTTCTAGTCCCGGCTGCTCCTCTTCCGATCCAGCTCTCTGCTATGCCCTGGGAAAGCTAGTAGAAGGTGGCCCAAGTCCTTGGGCTCCTGCACCCATGTAGGAGACCTGGAGGAAGCTCCTGGCTTCAGATCAGTGCAGCTCTGGCTGTTGTGGCCATCTGGGAGAGTGACCCAGCAGATGGAAGACCTCTTTCTGTCTCTACCTCTCTCTGTCACTGTGTCTTTCAAATAAATAAAAATAAATCTTTTTAAAAAATTTATTTATCTGAAAGAGTTACACAGAGGAGAGCCAGAGAGGGAGGGAAGGAGGGAGGGAGGGAGGGAGGTCTGTCTTCCCTCTGCTGGTTCACTCCCCAGTTGGCCACAGCGGCCAGAGCTGTGCTGATCCAAAGCCAGGAGCCAGGAGCTTCTTTCAGATCTCTCATTTGCAAGGGCCCATGGACTTGGGCCATCTTCTACTGCTTTCTGAGGCCATAGCAGAGAGCTGGTTCAGAAGTGGAGCAGCCAGGACTCAAACCGGTGCCCATATAGGGTGCCAGCACTGCAGGCGGCAGCTTTACTTGGTACGCCACATTGCCAGCCCCTGTATTTTAGTTTTAAGGTCTAAAGAATATATTGAATAATTTCTTTGTCACAACATCTATACAAAATCATAATTTTTCTTCAGCTCCTATAAAATTATAGCTAATCTATCTTCTGGTGTCTTAAGATAATCTTCTTATTAAAATTCATAATATAATTATCCAAGCTTTTGTTATATAAATTCTTCATAGCAGTTGAGTGGTTTTCTAATTATCCCTGAAATGACATCCAAATATTCTTTATCTTATAAAGCCCTTAATTTGGTTTATTCATGTTATATGAACTATAAATTATTTTTGAAATGAGATACAGTTCTGGCATCAAAACTAACTTTTAAATTATGATGAATATTACATAATTACCAGAAAGTTCATGTTTCTGAAATAAAGTTGTTCAATATTATTTCTATGGTAGAATATGGCATTTTTTGGTATGCTTTGAGAACTATTGACAGACTGAAAGGAATTTAAAACATACACTAGCCAAACATCCTCAGAGAAAGCAGTGTTAATGAGAGAACTGTATTTAGGTCTCTCTTGCTCCTTCCTCCACCTCTGATACCCAGAATGCTGATGCAGTGAGAGGATCCTGCGGATGTGTTCCAAGAAGGACAGTGGGTTTGGTATGCTAATGAAGGGTGTCCTGTTGAAGTATTTTTGAGGCCATACCTTCAAGATGTTCAAGAGGTCCAGGATTGCAGTGTTTTGAGCCTGGCAGGCTGTGAATAGCGAGGAAGCCAGATGGGCAGGGCATACTGGCAGGGAGAAAATGACACGGGGTAAGACTTGAGAGAGGCTTTGGGAAAGATTTGTTTAAGTGTACAGAGAAGCAATGGAAGGGATTAAAGTAGGGTAGTGATTTGCTTGACCCCTGCGTTCCTCTGGCTGCTGTGCAGAGAAAGGCTTAAGGAGTTGCCGGTGTTGTAGGTTGTTGTAGCAGGCTGGGGGAGAGCGAGTGGTGGCCACAGTGGGCCTGCTGGCAGTGGAAGTTCACATTAAAATTGCTGAAGACAAAACGTGAAGAGATTTGATCTTCAGTATGAAAACATGAACAATGCTAGAGGGCTTTTTTAAAAGTTTGCTAGAGAGAATGAGAGTTGGATTGCTGGATTTATAATGTTTGTGGATTGGGTTTATGAATTAAAAGTGAAACTGATCTTAAAAATCCCCCTCCTTTACAGAGTAGCCCAGCTTTAGTTTCTGCTTATTTTAACTTAGTGTGGTATTTTTATGTAATTGATGGGATATTGCTTGCTAGTTTGATAATAGAAACCTGGTAAGTACTGTGTACATCAAGTTTTGGTCATGTAATTGGTAGACTTGTAGTATTTATTGTTGAATTACATAATCAATATAGTTTTCTTTATTGTGCGGCATTTGTTTTGTGTGTTCCTTTGAAATGTTCCTTTGTGGAGTAAACTTTTTAATGCTGTTTAGTATCTTCATCAGATCAGTTCTGATTATTGCTGAATGTGGTTATTTAGAACTGAAATGCCTTAATTTTATTTTAATTACCTTGATATAATATTTCCTGTTTAATTTATCAGATTTGTTAGACATTTTAATTTGCAAATTTGGGACAATTTGCTTTAGCATTTATTCACTTTTCAAATTAGACCCCTGGATATAATCTCTAAAAAACCCTTAACTTCTCTAAATAAAATTGAATACTTAAACCTACAACTAAGGGTCAGTGAAGGAAGATTAATGATGTTTGCATTTAAAAGTTACAAACTAACATTCCACAGTTTATATGCCTGTTGATTTGTTCATGTTTCTGGTTGCAATTTTGTACTATTGGTTTGATTGTTTACGACAATAGAACATAGAATTCTTCAAGGTTAGCTATTTTCTCCTTTTCAGTGGAGTGTGATACTTGTTAGAAGAAAATCTCCCATGTAGTTTCTTCTAGTGTTAATTCTTAGAATATGATTGATTTTAGTCATGTATTTACTTCGGTGTTAAAATTGCAGTTCATAGAGTTAGTGCTGTGATGTTTTATAAACCTTAATTTTTAATGTATTTCATTTTAGTGATGTTTCAACCAGAATAAAATACTTTAAATTGTAGCTGCAAACATTTAAGTAAAAGTCTCTGTAAGTGATAACTTTATCATCCCTACCATGAAGCAATTTGTCCTAAATTTCCATACGTTTGCATTTGTTTTTGCTGTTCTAAAGTTCCTTAGTTGCTGGCTTTGACCTTTTATGTTGCTGAGTTTTATACATCTATTTTCTCACCTGCCATATCCTAGGGGGCTTGGAGTACCCATAATACAGTGAGCCCACCTTCCTGGTCCCCAGACATTTCAGAAGGTCGGGAAATTTTTAAAACCAGGCAGCTTCCTGGCAGTGCCATTTGGAGCATCAAAGTGGTAAATAAAATTGCATTTACATTCATGTGTCATTTATTTCTGGTTTGTTTTATCCCACTAGATGTTAAGAATTAAACCTTTCTTTTCTAGATGCAACTTCCAGAGCCACTTTTTTAAGCTAATAGTTTTAAAGGAAACAACGCGCTTACATTTTAAAATCTGGACTAGGAGGGAGTTAAATTGCAATTTTAACAGTGTATTTTTAATACTTCTTTCTGTGGTTGATTTCTTTTGTTGTAATTACCTATTTTTTATGAGAGGAGTAGGCCAAAAGATAGACTTGCTTATTCATGAATTCATAAAATTTTGCTGCTTAGGAAAGAACAAAAGCCAAGTAACATTAATCTCTTAAGTGCTAATGGAAAGGAAACACCAGAATTGCAGCAGATTTTGTGGTCTGTGCCAATAACCTCAGAACTGTAGGGGCTTCTCCATGTGTCTTTGGTGAATGATTCTACTAGTCCTTGAAGTAAATAATCTGATGCATTTTGAATGGAAAAAAATGAATTTGAAACTGCATTTATCACCGCATCAGTAAAAATGGTTCATTGAGTAGAGAAGATACTTTTTCTTCATCTTACGTATTTCTGGAATTGTTGAATAAGTGTGCTTTATTTAGACTTAAGGTTTAATCAAGATTTCATGAACATTTCTAGATTGTACTTATTTTCTATCATGATTGGAAGAACTAATTTTTAACTTGCTCTGTTATCATCCAATTTATTATGGTATAAATATTTGGGGAGTGTAAAAGGTGACTTTTTTTTTAAGCAAATGCCACCGATTTTTCACTTATTTTTATCTGTGTCATTAGATATTGGGCAAAGTAAATTGAGAAATTGCTGTAGTCTTTTTAATCAGTTCTTTTACTTAAAAACAAAGCAAACTAATCTACATGTGTTCCTTGTTCCGAGAAGCTGATGGACCTCTGAGAGGTTCTAGAGGGAGAGCAGGGTGAGGGATGAGGAGAGACCATTCACAAGCTGAAAGGAGGTTGTGCTTATTAAACTGAAGAGTGAGAAAGTTTCCCCCTCTGTGTCCACATGTGTCTGTTTTATGATCATAACACACAGATAACCATAGAAATTTTTTTTTTGACAGGGAGAGTGGACAGTGAGAGAGAGACAGAGAGAAAGGTCTTCCTTTGCCATTGGTTCACCCTCCAATGGCCATTGAGGCTGGCGCGCTGAGCTGATCCAAAGCCAGGAACCAGGTGCTTCTCCTGGTCTCCCATGCGGGTGCAGGGCCCAAGCACTTGGGCCATCCTCCACTGCACTCCCTGGCCACAGCAGAGAGCTGGCCTGGAAGAGGGGCAACCAGGACAGAATCCAGCGCCCCGACCAGGACTAGGACCCTGTGTGCCAGCGCCGCAGGCGGAAGATTAGCCTATTGAGCTGCGGCGCTGGCAAAACCATAGATTTTTAACATGGAAACCATTCTGTTAATTAGGGAATGGAGTGAGCAGCATTTCAAACTATGATTAGTGAAATGAGTTGACACTGTGACATGTTCCTTAACTTGAGGTCTGGGGTGGGGAGGGGAGAGAAGAGAGAATTTTTATGATTATTTTAATAATTTTAGATATACACAATATATCTGCTCTGTATGGATGCCAGGTTTTGTTAAGGAGTAGTACTTGAGTATACATATATATGAGGGAATAAAATGTTCCCCCAGCCCTGGTACTTAGGACTGAAAATATCAAGGGATTAAATGTTTTCCCATGGAATTTGGGTGAAAACTCAGATAAATTCTTTTTAGTTCAAGTATTTATTATCCTGACGATTTACAGCAAGACTTTCACCCTTTTAGTCAGCCTTGTTAATCTGTGTAAGTTTTTTTCTAAATGCTATGATCTGTGTGATTTTTTCCTCTAACTACTAAGGTAGAATGAGGTAGTCATGAATAGTAATGAAAAGTGACCTAATTTAATAAGATTATTGTGTGCTAGTAGAATTAATTTCCATGCAGCATAGCAGTACAGAATAGTACAGGACAAGGGGGCCAGATTTGTGCTGTATCAATGACAAGTTACTCACCCTGTTTATCCCTGTTTATTAATGAAATGGAGAATAGAAAGGGCTTAGATCAGTAAGTGATAAGTATTCAGTAATTGTTAGCTATTAACATAATTGCTAAAAGACCAGTTAATAAGGGTACTTCTTTATATTACTGTTCATTGATTACACTTTTGTACATTGAATTATGGTTCATTTCTTTATTTTTAAGCCATCTAGAATGTAGGACTAGGGAATGGGAAGATAATACCAAGGTGTGCTAATGGAGGGCATTCAAAATGACAAAGTTTGATTCCAAGATTATAAGCACTTTCTGTTTCCATTGTGGAATACTTGTACATGTTTAAAGATACAAATAATAAATGTGGTCTCGAAATATATAAATAAAAATAAAAGCAACTATTTGAGTAGTATTTAATAAAATGTTTTATCTCACTGATGTTTGCCTCTAAAAATTTTGTGCGGCTTTTACAAAACATTGACTTTCTCTTATCTGTTAACTAGGGCCGTGGCTCTGGATTTCCAGGCAAACGCAGACCTCGTGGAGCAGGACTGTCAGGAAGAGGTGGCAGAGGCAGGTCGAAACTAAAGAGTGGAATTGGAGCTGTTGTGTTACCTGGAGTGAGGCTTACTTTATTTATTTTTGCTATTATCCTTGTCAGTTACTGATGATAATCTCATTTGTAGCAAGTTATGTAGATCCATAAGAGTCACATAAATAGAGTAAAATTTTTCTCTGTCTCTACCTTTTCTCCCCTATCCTCTGACCAGGATTTCTGTTGTATTTTCTACTTTCTCAGCTCTTATGTCTTTTATTTATTTATTTATTTATTTATTTATTTATTTATTTATTTTTAAGCCTTTGCCTTTGACTTTTTTAATCTCTGTATGCCAGCCTTCTACAGAAAGGCATCATGTAACACATTTGCTCTTTTATTAAGAAAAAGAACAGCAAACTAACTATTACATTCATGAATCTGTTTGGAAAGCTTAGTTAGGTTAGTGTTTTCGGTTGTTGGTTGCACTTCCTCTCAGTGTTACACCACTTTAGAAGACATTAGAGGACTTTGTGGTGCAGCCATCAAGCCACCAGTCCAGGATGCAGAGTGCTGGTTTGAATTCTGGCTATTACTCTTCTAGTCCAGCTCCCTTCTAATCATCTTGGAAGCAGCAGACTCAAGTAGTTGAGTCCTGCCACTCACGTGGAAGACCTAGATGGAGCTTTAGGCTCAGCCTGGCCCAGCCTCAGCTATGCAGTCATTTGGGGAGTGAACCACGGAGATATCACTCTTTCTCTGTGACATCACAGATTAGCATAGACTCTAAAAATGTTGAGCATTTTATGCCTGTTTTTGAGTTGTTTTAATTTAAGAGGCTTTATAGATGATTTATAACAAGACTTTTACCCCTTTGTCAGTTTTCCTGTAAATTAGTAGACTTGTTCAATTTGAATATTACACCAGGAGCAAGGAATTGTGGATTCTGGTCTTCTGTTGTGAGTGTGTATATTTTAAAATATATAGCAAACCCAAACACCAGGCTTATTCAGGCATAATTGATATAAAGTAAACTACAAACACTTGATATGTACAGTTTTTTGTTTCTTAAATATTTATTGGAAAGGCAGAGTTACAGAGAAAGAAAAGGAGAGGCAGAGAGAGAGCAGGCATGCATGCTCGCTTGCCTCTATCCATTGGTTCCCTCTCCAAATGACCAAAACGAATGGGGCTGGGCCAGGCTGAGGCCAGGATCCAGGAACTCCATCGAGGTCTCCAACATAGGTACAAGGGCTCAAGCATTTGGGCCATCTTCTGCCTCTTCCCTAGGCTCATTATCAGGTTAAACTATATATCATTTGACTTAAATATTCAAATCTACCACTTCAGCTTGTAATATATAGGGTTAAAGAGTTATTTTACATTCTTTTTTTTTTTTGTTTGGTACTGAGTCTTTGAAATCCATTTCAGAAACACTGAAAAGAATGTGCTGTGGCACATCTCCACTTGGACTATCTACAGTGCAGTTCTTCTATTTATTTTTTTGTTTATGTTATTTATGTGAAAGGCAGAGGCAGAGAGAGAAAGAGAAAGAGAAAGAGAAAGATCTCCCATGCACTGGTTCATTCCACAAATGGTTTCAATGGCCGGAGCTAGACCAATCCTGACCTAGGAGCCACTTCTAGGTCTCCGATGTGGGTTAAGGGGCCCAAAGACGTGGGCCATCTTTTGCTGCTTTCTCTGGCACATAAGCAGGGAGCTGTATCTGAAGTGGAGCAGTTTGGATATGTACTGGCACCCATATGGGATGCTGGCACTGCAGGCATTGGCTTTACCCACTATGCCACAGCGCTGGCCCCAGTGGTGTAGTTCTTAAATGACACTAGATAGAGGGTATTGCATGTCTGTACCTGTATAAAATATACTTTTATAGTTTAGAATTTGAGTAATTAAGTGTGAATGAAGGCAGGTTTATATTTTCTCATTACTCCCTGATCTATAGGAATTGCATATCTAAAGATGCAATTAGGTAAATTAAAGTTGTGATCCATAATCATTCCCAAGTTCTATGGTAGTATCTTGACATTATTATTATACTCTGGGATTGTTAGTCTAGGCCCTGGAGAAAAGTTACATATTTTTTAAAAGAGTTATTTATTTAAAATGCAGCATTACAGAGAGAGAGGCAAAGAGAAAGAGAGAAATCTTCCTTCCAGTGGTTCACTCCACAAATGTCCACAGTAGTGAGGGCTGGGCCAGAACAAAGCCAGGAGCCAAGAGTTCCTTCCAGGTCTTCCATAGGGGTGCAGGGGCCCAGGGGCTTCAGCCTTCTGCTGCTGCTTTCCCAGGGACATTATCTTGGACTTGGATCTGAAATGAATCAGTCTGGACTTCATCTGGCACCCATATGAGATTCTGGTGTCTCAGGCAGTAGCTGTACCTGCTGCACCACAGTGCTGGCCCCTCAAATATAAATTTGGTGGAACTTTGCAGTGAAGTGTAATATAAGTGGAAAATACAATTTCACATTTTTTGTATTTTTTAAAGGTGTCAACTGCAGATATTTCATCAAATAAGGATGAGGAAGAAAATTCTATGCACAATACTGTTGTATTGTTTTCAAGTAGCGACAAGTTCACTTTACATCAGGTTTGAACTTTATATTCTTTTTGTGTTTCTGCTTTATTCCATAGGCACAGAAATCATTAATTTATCTGTAAAGCCATATTAGTTAAGAATGTATTGTTAAATTAAAATATATATGTTTCAGTTTAATTTGCAATTTTAAATATATTCGTATTTTCTCAATTTCAGGATATGTGTGTAGTTTGTGGCAGTTTTGGCCAGGGAGCAGAAGGAAGATTACTTGCCTGTTCTCAGTGTGGTCAGTGTTACCATCCGTACTGTGTCAGTATTAAGGTAAACATGCTTAAATGAGTTCACCAAAATGTTTCAACTTATTAATTTGATTTCACTAGTAACATGGTGCTCCTGGTTTTTATATTATTTTATTAAGTTTTTTTTTTTTTTTTTTTTTTTTTTTTTGAAAGGCAGAGTTATGGTTGAGGGATGGTATGTCTTCCATTAGTTAGTTCATTTATCAAATAGCTGCAATGGCTGGGGCTGGCCCTGGCTGTAGCCAGGAGCTAGGATCTGTATCTGGATCTCCCACATGAGGGCTGGTGCCCAAGCACTCCAACCATATTTTTTTTAAAGAATTATTTATTTATTTGAAAGTTAGAGTTACACAGATAGAGGAGAGGCGGTGGGGGGGAGGGGGAGAGGGAGGGAGGGAGGTCTGTCAGTCGGTCTTCCATCTGCTGATTCACTCCTCAATTGGCTGCAATGGCCGAAGCTGTGCTGATCTGAAGCCAGGAGTTTCTTCTGGGTTTCCCACGTGGGTGTAGCGCCACAAGGACTTGGGCCATTTTCTGCATTCCCAGGCCATAGCAGAGAGCTGGATTGGAAGTGGCGTAGCCAAGTCTCGAACTGGCACCAATATGGGATGCTTGTGTTTCAGGCCAGGGCGTTAACCCGCTGTGCCATCTTAAACTGATTTCCCAGGTCCATTAGCAGGGCGCTGGATCAGAAGTGAAGCAGCTTAGACTCAGCTGGCTCCCATATGGAATGCTGGCATTGCAGACAGTGGTTTAAACTGTTAGATCATATCACTGGTCCTTCCCGTTTCTTATTATTTAAGAGTGCTATATGTTTATGGAATTAATTATTTTGAAGTGTTTGCTTCCTCAAGAAACCAACTTGTTTAAAATTGTGTTAATTATGCTGCCTTTTTCTAGAAAAAGTATAACAAAAGTATGTGCGTTTAATTTATAATTATTTCAAAATAATGTATACTATATTTGCCAAGGCATTATGTTAAGTTGGCTCATTTTGTTTACTGGTTACAAAATTTGAGTACTTAACACAGATTCATTAGTACATTTAAAAAAATTATTTATTTGTAAGACAGAGAGAGGAGGAGATACACCTTCCATCCGTTGGTTTATTCCCTGAATTGCCATGGCCAGGGTTGGCCAGGCTGAAACCAGGATTCAGGAGCTTCCTTCAGGCCTCCAATGTGTGTGCAGGGTCCCAGGGATTTGGGCCATTTTCCTCTGCTTTTCCTAGGCACATTAGCAGGGAACTGGATTGGAAGTAGAGCAGCCAGGATTCGAAGAGGCACTTGTGTGGGATGCAGGTAGCGGCTTAACCTATTATGCCACAATGTACCCATTAACCCATTCTAATCTTTTTCACATTCACTTTCCTCAATTCTGTCTTACCCATATATAAAAGGATGCTTTGTCCTTATAGCTGAACAAGACAAAACAGTTATCATACTCCTGTTTATTGTGATTCAACAATAATTCAAAGCCTGCTGTGCTCAGTTCCAAATATTTCAGATTACAGACTTACTGGGAAGCCTTTTAGTTGGTAATAATGTTCTTTAGGTTTTAAAAATGGTCACTTTTCATCAGTACTTAAACTATAGAATATAGGTTCTTTTTTTTTCTATTGCTTTTAAGAAATGGATTTCAGGCCGGCGCCACAGCTCAATAGGCTAATCCTCCACCTAGCGGCACCGGTACACCAGGTTCTAGTCCCGGTTGGGGCGCCGGATTCTGTCCCGGTTGCCCCTCTTCCAGGCCAGCTCTCTGCTGTGGCCCAGGAAGGCAGTGGAGGATGGCCCAAGTACTTGGGCCCTGCACCCCATGGGAGACCAGGATAAGCACCTGGCTCCTGCCTTGGGATCAGCGCGGTGCACCGGCTGCAGCGCGCCTGCCGTGTTGGCCATTGGAGGGTGAACCAACGGCAAAGGAAGACCTTTTTCTCTGTCTCTCTCTCTCACTATCCACTCTGCCTGTCAAAAAAATAATAAAAAAAAAAAGGATTTTATCAAATATTGGTGTTTTAAATAGAGTAACACATGATCATTGAAAGTAAAATCCTTCTTAATCCTGCCACATCAAGTTATCAAGTTTTATAAAGACTAACCCCAGATTCAGTGGTCATGAATCATCCTAAATATGCAAATTCTTTTTTCAATTCTAAAAAAAATTGTGTTTACTTAAAAGGCACACACACACACACACACACACACACACACACACATATACCACCCACCCACCCACCCACCCACACCCCTCCACCTACCTACCTACCTACCTACCTTCCATCTCATTTACTTCTCAAATGCCCATGATATCTAGGGAGGGCCTGGATTTATTTATTTATTTGAAAGTATAGAGAGAGGGAGATTCCATCCATTGGTGTACTCCCCAGATGGCTGCAACAGCCAGCCCTGTGGTCAAGCCAAAACTTCTTCCAGTTCTCCCATGATGGTAGCAGGATGCCAAGCACTTGGATCATCTTCCGCTGCTTTTCCCAGCCCATTAGTAAGCAGCTCTTTCAGAAGTGGAGCACCAGGACTTGAACTGGTGCCCATATGGAATGCCGGTATTGTAAGTGGTCGCTTGACCCACTGCGCCACAACACTGGCCCCACTTTGAGTATAATTTGCAGAAGTTTTAGAAGAAAAGTTAATATTTAAAGGTTTATCCTCAGGAATTTGTGTACTTTTTGGTACATCCAACAATTACTTCCCAATTTATAGGTAAGCTAAATGAAGCTTACATAAGATTAGACAGTATATGGTCAAACAGCTAATTACTTTCAAAGCTGTATTTAAATCTGTTTTCTACCTACATTTTTCTTTTATGACACTAATGGTATTTTGAGTAGAGAATACTGTAGCCTCAGTGACTTAGAAGTACTAGAATATGCAGAAATGTACTAGGGCTATGGGAATTGGCTCAGCTTGAGTTTTGTTGTCAGTAATTTAGTGGATACATTAGATCCTTTTGAAGTTTCTTTCTGTTGTAGAGTGTCTTAAAATCAAATAAGAGGCTGGCGCCTCAGCTCACTTGGCTAATCCTCCGCCTGCAGCACCGGCACCCCGGGTTCTAGTCCCAGTTGGTGTGGCAGATTCTGTCCCGATTGCTCCTCTTCCAGGCCAGCTCTCTGCTGTGGCCCGGGAAGGCAGTGGAGGATGACTCAGGTCCTTGGGCCCTGCACCCACATGGCAGACCAGGAGGAGGCACCTGGCTCTTGGCTTCGAATCGGCACAGCATGCTGGCCGTAGAGGCCGTTTGGGGGGTGAACCAATGGAAAAAGGAATACCTTTCTCTCTGTCTGTCTGTCTGTCTCTCTCTCTCTCTAACTCTGCCTGTCAAAAAAAAAAAAAATCAAATAAGAAGAATTTACATAAAAGAATCTTCATTCTAAAGTGGATATTCTCATATTTTTTGGTGTTAGAACCCTTAGCATTTATGGTCTCTACTGAATCCCAACCCCTATTCACCACTGGTGTTACCGTCTTGACTATTTGGCACTCATTTTTCTTCTAGCTGCCTAGGAGGTGTTTAATTTTTTCCCAGTATGTGTTGTTTGTCCTGGCTGTGGCTTGTGGTTTGACTTTTTTTCCCCCTCTCTTTTATTCATTCTATTTTTTTTGAAAGGCAGAGTTAGAGAGGGAGAGAGGGAGGGAGGGAAGGAGAGAGAGAGAGCACACATCGGCGCTGTGGTGTAGTAGGTAAAGCTGCTACCTGCAGTGCTGTCATCGCATAAGGGCACCAGTTCGAGTCCTGGCTGTTCCTCTTCTGATCAAACTCTCTGCTATGGCCTGGGAAAGATATGAAAGATGGTCCATATTCTTGGGCCACTGTACTCATGTGGGAGATCAAAAGAGGCTCCTGGCTTCATGTCGGTGCAGCTCCAGCTGTTGCGGCCATCTAGGGAGTGAAGCAGTGGATGGAAGACCCCTTCTCTCCCTTTCCCTCTCTGTCTCTGCCTTTCTGTAACTTTACCTTTCAAATAAAATAAATAAACCTTTAAAAAAAAAGGCATATTTGTCACAACTGGAGACGTGATACCATGGATGGTTTTATAACCACACTTGAAAGCACTTTTTTTTTTTTTTTTTTTTTTTTTTTTTTTGACAGGCAGAGTGGACAGTGAGAGAGAGAGACAGAGAGAAAGGTCTTCCTTTGCCGTTGGTTCACCCTCCAATGGCTGCTGCAGCCGGTGCGCTGCAGCCAGCGCACTGCGCTGATCCAATGGCAGGAGCCAGGTACTTATCCTGGTCTCCCATGGGGTGCAGGGCCCAAGCACTTGGGCCATCCTCCACTGCACTCCCTGGCCACAGCAGAGAGCTGGCCTGGAAGAGGGGCAACCGGGACAGAATCCGGCGCCCCGACCGGAACTAGAACCCCGTGTGCCGGCGCCGCAAGGCGGGGGATTAGCCTACTGAGCCGCAGCACCGGGGCCAAGTGGGAATCTTAAAGGGGAAAAATTGTGCAAATATTGAAGTACTGCAGAGGTCGAGTTACACAGTTAGATTTGGGAGTCTGAGGTCTTGACCGACTGATGTGAGCACTTTCTGTGGGTAGGATGTAGGATGCAGAATGTGATATGTTGAAGAGTCAGTACAAGCTGACTTAACCTCGGAGGACAAAAGATAAGTATCTGATGAAAGAGAACTGTGCAAATGAAGATAGAAAAATCCTCTCAGGTGGTTTAGTTTGATCTCTCATTAGAGAGAGAATCTACAGTAGGAGTGGCAGCTTGTGTGTGACCCACTGAGCGCCAAGTGTGACCCACTGAGCGCAACCATGGTATTTTCTTTTGTCTTTGTGGGAATTTTACAAGGGCAGAGTTCTGGATTTGGGAAAGACCATGTGGTCCACAGACTCTAGAATATTTTTTATTTGTATGCTTACAGAAAAAGGTTGCTGGTTTCTGTTCTATGTAACTCTGATCTTCCCATCCTAGACCGTTTTCTCCCTTTGGATAAATAATATAACTTGGTATAAAAAATCAGTAGCAGGCTAGTAGACATGGCTAAATCTCAGATGACACTGAATACCTTTTAGCCACCAGCAAATCCATCTTTCCACATCTGAGGCAACTGCGTTTATTCCTTTTTTTAAAAAATTTTTTGTTTATTTATTTGAAAATCAGTTATACAAAGAGAGGAGAGGCAGAGAGAGAGAGAGGTCTTCCATCCACTGGTTCACTCCCCAGTTGGCCACAATGGCCAGAACTGTGCCGATCCGAAGCCAGGAGCTTCTGGGTCTCACACACAGGTGCGGAGCCCCAAGGACTTGGGCCATCTGCTGCCTTCCCAGGCCATAGCAGAGAGCTGGATCGGAAGTGGAGGAGGTGGGTCTCGAACTAGTGCCCATATGGGATGCTGGTGCTTCAGACCAGGGCGTTAGCCCACTGTGCCACAGCACTGGCCCCCTGATTTAGTTCTTAAAGTATACCTCTTGCCTTCCCTCCGAATCCTTCCAATAACGTATTACTACATTTAGTTAAATTAATAAAGTGTGGACTGGCATTGTGGTTCAGTGGGTTAAGCTGCTGCCTGTACCTCCAGCGTGCCATTTGAGTGCTGTTTCATGTCCTGGCTGTTCCACTTCTAATCCAGCTTTCTGCTAAAGCACCTGGGAAAGCAGCAGAAATGGCCCACATACTTGGGCTCCTGCCATCTATGTGGGAGACTAGAACAGAGTTCTAGGCTCCTGGCTTTGATCTAGCAAAGCACTGGGTATTGTAGCTATTTGGGGAGTGAAACAGCAGACAGAAGATCTGTATGTCTCTCCTCTAGTCTCCTGTAACTCTTATTTTGAAATAACTATGTAAAATATATCTTTAAAAAACAATAGAGGCTTGGCGCTGTGGCATAATGGGTTAAATTGTAGCCTTCAATGCCTGCATCAATTCGAATCTCTTCCACTTCCAATCCAGCTCCCTGATAATGTTCCTGGGAAAGCAGCTGAAAGTGGCCCAAATCTTTGGGACCCTTGGCCCATATGGGAGACCTGGATGAAGCTCCTGGTTTCATTGCTGCCATCTGGGGAGTGAACCAGTGGATGAAAGATATCTCTCTGTTTCTACCTCTCTCTAACTCTGCATTTCAAATAAAATAAATCTTTTTGAAAAAAGTGTTTTGATTTAGTACATATTTACAGTAGATCTAAGAAGTAAAGTTTGACTTTCAAGTTTTTTCAAATTTGAAAAAATGGAGTCAGTGTGAGAGAGAGGTGGACCTTGCTTGCTCCTATCTGCTGGTTCACTATACAAATGCCTACCATAGCCAGGGCTGTGCTGGGGTCAGAATCAGGATTTGCAGTGCAAGCCAGTTCTCTTTTGTGAGTGGCAGGCAACCAGTAAGTAATTTGAGACATCACCACTGTCTTACCAGTTCTGCCTGGTGACAAACTGGAGTCATTAACTGTAACTGGACATCAAACCCAGGCATTCCGATGTGTGTTGAATGTTTTAACCTCTGGAATAAATGCCCACCGCCAACTTCTGTTTCTTGTGGAGTTTTCAGTAGCAAGAAGAAAACATTCACAAGTTATACTCTGTCAGTTTTTAGTTGTTTATTTTTATCTAGTATAGATGAACTGTTCTATTACATTATAAGCGTACTTCAACGTGGTTGTGGAAAAATAGAACTAAGAGAAGTTTAATTCTGCAAGGTCTTTTGATATCTGATCTGTGCATGGTTTTTCATAATATACATGAGTTTTTAATATTTTGGTAAGTTCTTTTTTTCTGGGAAGAGCCCTCACTCTTCCTAGACATTTCCATTCCCTTGCTTTCATTGGTGCCAGTGTCTTGTAGATATGTTGCCCCGCTCTCATCTTTAAAACCTCCTGGACTTTTGTCCTTTGTTGTACACATTGCTTTCTCGACCTCACACTTTCCTTTTCATGTACAACCTCATTCTGCATTTTATTTGTCTATGTGACTTAATAGGGAGAAGATGAGAGTCGAATTTTATGTGTTGGGGTGTCTAAAAGGTATTCTGCTCTTACATATAACTGCTTGTTCATGTTAGGAATTCTAATTTGAAAAGAATTTAGGAACTGCTAATTGATTCTGATATCCAGAGCTGGGAAGTTTGATTATGTTCTGATAAGTGATTTTTTGAATTTAACTCTTTTATTTTCCTCTCTGGTATATTTTAGGTTTTCTTATTCCTCATGAACTGAATTTCTATTTTTTTTTTGATTGCATACTGTGTATTCTGTAGATTTTCAGTTTTCCACTGATTTAGACCCTTGAGAAGAAAATTAGCAAAGGGAAGATGAATTTCAGGAGTGCTAGCTTCATAGCATAGAAATCCTCCAAGATCATAATGTGTATGTGAGAACTCATGTTTTATCTTAAATTTATGTTGTTTCTTTTCTTCGGTTTTAACATTTATGTCCTTACATCATATGCATAAGTTTCAGAAGCATAGAATTGAACAGTAACATAGCAGGCAACCTGATTTCTTTAAAATCCAGACTGTATCTGTAAGTTTAGTGGAATTAAATGTACAGCACCAGTTATTTACGTGGACTAACTAAAGGCATTAGTGTCATCCTTCTGTGTTTCACTTTGCCCAGGGCAGTGTTGGGCCACAGGTGCTCAATAAATGTCCATGACTTGCTTCTTTAGTATAAAATTATTTAATTATGTAATTTGATTATAGATAATGAGGTCTGTTTAATTATAAATTATGTGTGTTGTTTCTTTTACAGATTTCTAAAGTAGTTCTTAGCAAAGGTTGGCGGTGTCTGGAGTGCACTGTGTGTGAGGCCTGCGGGAAGGCAACTGACCCAGGAAGACTCCTGCTTTGTGATGATTGTGACATAAGTTATCACACCTACTGCCTAGACCCTCCATTGCAGACAGTGCCCAAAGGAGGCTGGAAGTGCAAATGGTATTCTGGGATTTATGTTTTCCTTGGTAGACTTTTGCGTTCAGAACTTTCTCCCATCTCTTTAATCACATAGTAAACATTTAGTATGACATATATCACTAATTAGAAAATTCTTTGTGCATAGTTAATAGTTTCCTCCTATTCTGTTTATGTGTAGCCCTCTGAATTATGTAAATAGAATTGAGACTTTTGGGGCGGTTTGGATTTCAGGTGTGTTTGGTGCAGACACTGTGGAGCAACATCTGCAGGTCTGAGATGTGAATGGCAAAACAACTACACACAGTGTGCTCCTTGTGCAAGCCTCTCCTCCTGCCCGGTCTGCTGTCGAAACTATAGAGAAGAAGATCTTATTCTGCAGTGTAGACAATGCGATAGGTATTGTTGTTTTCTACTTTGTCGTCTTTGCAAACATTGCCTAATGAAATTGGAAAGTGTTCCCTTAATCATAACTTTTGCTTTCCAGATTTTTAGTCAGCTAGGAAATTACAAAAGTGATTTTCTGCTTAAATTCCAGACTAAGGGTTTTTATCGTGGGGCTTTTTGAATGTTTATGAATCCCTTGAAATTTGCTAGGGATGATTACCTGCATATTTGTGTTTTCTTACGATAGGTTTTTAAATTGCTTTTATGAGGTATTAAAAATGACCCTGACCTTTTGTATTTTACCTAAGCCACTTCTCTTTCAAGCTGTAGATAATAGATAATTTAATTGTTAGATACAACCTCCCACCCCCCAAAAATCAAGACCGTTTCCTTTGGTCTTACTGGTATATGGTGGAGCTCTGTTAGTGGTTACACATTGTAAATATCAAGGTGTTTACAGTATTTTCTTTATGAATAGTGTAGTTTTCTTAAGACCCTGCTTACAAATTCTTTATTCTAAAGCATGAGAGGTCCTTCAATTTCTTTCCCAGCAAACCATTCAGCTTCACTTTATGTTAAAGTTACTTCAAATTTGTTAACACTTTACCATTGGCTGCCTTCTGAATTTCTTTCTACCTGACCTAAGTAACCTCTTTGCTGGTTTTGATATATTGGTATATGATCACATAATACTTAATCCATACTCCTCATGTAATGTGCTTTTGCTTCCTCCCTTAAATTTATTCTCATTGCTTTTACTTTCCTTCTCAATTCTATGAAAAATTTTGTTAGTCATTAGAGATAAGCAGGACAGAAGGGTGAGATGTGTTAGATAGTAAGAGCATGTGAGATTTAGGGCTTTTAATTATGTAGACTGTCAAGTTCCTGTTGTTTTTAAAAGAAAACAGGATTGAGTATATTCATTTCTTTATAAATGTACACATATGGTCTTTTTAGATGGATGCATGCTGTTTGTCAAAACTTAAATACTGAGGAGGAAGTGGAAAATGTAGCAGACATTGGTTTTGACTGTAGCATGTGCAGACCCTATATGCCCGCATCAAATGGTAAGAGAATAATTCGAAATGTGACTCTGCTGTCCTGTTACTCACTTGCACTTTATTTTCTATAGACAATAAGTCTTAATTCTTCATTCTTTTTTGTCTTTGAGAAACTTACTTTGGCCCAGTAACTTATGAAAATAAGTTCTCCTTTTAATAGATTAATTTTTGTTATCTTCATTTTATATATTAAAACAATTTACCTAAATGGTGAAAATGAATCACTTCAGATGTAAGTCATAATATTACATTCAAGGAGTATAATCTTTTATAGTTATTAGCGATATGTAGAAATCCAGTATACTGATTCTGTATCATTGTTAGTATTTCCTCCCTGAATAAAGTACTTTCACTACTTCCCTTTATGTTTGGCTGTCATTTTATAGACCTTTGTTTAGTTTGTTGAAGCATTTATTTTAAGGGAATCATATTTAAATCTTTAAGTAAACTTTATCTTTTCTGAAAAAATCACCTGAATTTTTTTCTTTTCAGTGCCTTCCTCAGACTGCTGTGACTCTTCACTTGTAGCACAAATTGTCACAAAAGTAAAAGAGCTAGGTAAAATTTGAAACAATTTGCTTTTTAAGCATATGAATCCTTAATTTGTATATTATTGGCTTGTAACATGTTGCCTTAATTGATACATAAAAGGTTCCTTTTATGCAGTTTTACCTGGGAAAAATACCAAGTTTCAGAAATAAGCATTAATCACATTCTTTTGGATTTCATTGATATATTACTGTGCTTAGTTAAGTAATTTAGTCTCTCTCTCTCTTTTTTTTGGGGGGGTGGGTAATAGGTCAGCCTGCATTGGTAATTAATGACATTTTCAGCAGTCATTCTCTTATGTACATGTATTTGTTGCCTTCAGATATGAAAACATTGAGGGTACTACAGATAGTATGCTAAATTTTGTCAATTTAAAAATTTATATCATTTGTACTTTTGACTGCTGCTTTCTATAAATGATTATATTAATGCTTTTTTTTCCACCCTAGCTTCTAGAGCATTGTTGCTTCTCTTGTAAATTGTTCCTAGCTTTAAGTGTTTTTTGGGGGGAAAAGGCTCATAGTAGGGTAGCTGAAGCATTAATTTTAGCTTCAATGTTTCCTTCCTAAATCTTTACATCAATGCATGGAAGTAGAAATGCCAGAAAAACATGCAACCTTTCTGCCAATAAACTCTCTGTCAATCCAAGAAAGTTTGGCCAACTAGTTTTGACATTGTTAAGTGACTTATATTTCCATAGATAACTGCCGTCTTGAACTATAGTCATTTTCCCTTTAAGTGGGTATTTTGGAATAATGAATTTACAGTGAAACCTTAAGTTTGTATTCTTGGGAATTATACTTCTAGATCCACCTAAAACCTACACCCAGGATGGTGTGTGTCTGACTGAATCAGGGATGACTCAGCTGCAGAGCCTCACAGTCACAGTTCCAAGAAGAAAACGGTCAAAACCAAAATTAAAATTGAAGATTATAAATCAGAATAGCGTGGCTGTCCTTCAGACCCCTCCAGACATCCAGTCAGAGCATTCAAGGGATGGGGAAATGGATGATAGTCGAGGTAATACTAATTTATTTTCCATTGAATACATATGTAAGAATTGAAGCATTAAGGTAACTTTTGAAATGTTTGATTTATTTAAAGGTAATCACATTAATGTAGATATCCCTTGATGTGACATTTGCCCATTCTGAGTGATTTTCTTAAATTTTTTCCTTTGGCTTTCATATATCTTCTTAATACAGATTTCCCATATAGAAAATTTGGGGAGCACCATATGATTGAAGATCACAAATGCTTGAGTTTAGGCTTTTTAGGTTTATACATAAATGATCACAGATAATGTCTGCTTTGAAACCAAGTTTATGTTAAAGTAGAGCTTGATATGTACATTCTAGAAATGGAAAAATGATAATGTTTATATAACTTGAAGTTTAAATTTATATTCACAGGGCCAGCGCCGCGGCTCCCTTGGCTAATCCTCCGCCTGTGGTGCTGGCACCCCGGTTCTAGTCCAGGTTGGGGGCTCGATTCTGTCCCAGTTGCTCCTCTTCTAGTCCAGCACTCTGCTGTGGCCCAGGAAGGCAGTGGAGGGTGGCCCAAGTGCTTAGGCCCTGCACCTGCATGGGAGACCAGAGAAACACCTGGCTCCTGGCCTGGAAGAGGGGCAACCGGGACAGAATCCGGCGCCCCGACTGGGACTAGAACCCGGTGTGCCGGTGCCGCAGGCGGACAATTAGCCCAGTGATCCGTGGCGCCAGCCCTTTTTATTTTTTTAAAAATTTTTTTTAAAGATTTTATTTATTTGTTTGAGAGGTAGAGTTACAGACAATGAGAGGGAGAGACAGAAAGGTCTTCCTTCCGTTGGTTCACTCCCCAAATGGCCGCAACGGCCGGAGCTGTGCCAATCTGAAGCCAGGAGCCGGGAGCTTCCTCTGGGTCTCCCACATGGGTGCAGGGGCCCAAGGCCCTGGGCCATCTTCCACTGCTCTCCCAGGCCACAGCAGAGAGCTGGACTCAAAGAGGAGTAGCCAGAACTAGAACCGGCTCCCACATGGGATGCCTGCACTGTAGGCGGAGGATCAACCTACTGTGCCACGGAGCCGGCCCCTTAAAATTTTTTTTATTATTAATTTGATTTGAGAGGTAGAGGAGCAAAGAGAGAAACACAGAGAAAGAGATCTTCCATCTGCTGGTTTACTCCCCCAAATGGATGCAAAAGCTGGGACTGTGTCAGGCTGAAGTCAGGATCCCAGAACTCCATTCTGGGTCTCCCGTGGTGGGTGCAGGGGCCCAAGCACCTGAGGCATCCTCCACTGCCCTCCCTGGTGCACCAGCAGGGAGCCATATTGGAAGTAGAACAGCCAGGACTGTTGCCCACATGGGATGCCAACATTGCAGTTGGCATCCCAACCCATTATGCCACTATGCCACTTCATCCTGGAGCTTGCTTTTAATGTTAGGATACAAGAGTGTAAAAAAAAAAATTCTAATGTATTCAGGCAATGCTATTAAAAATAATTAGGTTCATAGGAATTGAGCATGCATAGAGTGGTCTGATAAACTGAAAACAGTCAGTACAGACTTTAAAGAGGTGGGTGAGCCATCTGTTTAACTAAGTGAAGAATGTCTCAGGTGTGAGGAAGCCAGGCCCAGCTTGTATGGGGAATGTTGAGATGACTGTGTCCAGCAAAGTGAGCAAAGGGAACAGTAGGAAGTGATGTGATGGGTGGCTCAGTAAATCATTCAGAACAATTTGCACTTACTAGATGTGGAATGGGAAATAATTGGGTGTTTCTGTAAAGAAGCATGATCTTAATCCTGTTTTAACAGGAAAGATGCTGTTACATGAAAAAACAGTTAAGTAAAAGAATTGTAGCAAGTAGGTCAATCCAGAGGCTGTTGCAGTATTCTAAGTGAGAGAGGATCATGCCATGAAAAGCACATAAGAGATCTTTTAACACTTAGAGAGTGCATATTGTGAAAAATATCTAGATTTCAAAATTTTTTTTGCTCCAGAATTATTTAAATTTCATTTTCTATAAATGGAACTTATAGAATTTGTCACCCTGTTAAGGTGACAGCGTCCTTGTGTCAACATGATTTTATAAGTTTCTGATAATTTATTGTTAAGTCTTTGCATTTCTTTTACAGTGGTGTGCTTTTGCTTTGTGCGGTTTGGGAAAAAGCATTGTGATGCTTGTCTATAGCCACTTCTAAAATATTTTTGAATCGAGAATTTGGTTTTGATATCTAAGGTGGCTTTGGGTTGTGAAGAAGTACTCCGTATATTTAGGAGGAATTCATCAGGTCAACATTAGCTAGAATATACCAAAGAATTTGTTTCTGAGGATCTTAAAAATATCTGAAGAGATGTAGTAAATTTGGGAAATGTTGTATCTTTCAAAAACTGAAAAGTCTGTTGTTATACATAAGTTACTAATATTAGTGGTTTATTAATAATTCTTATTCATTTAAAGTTTATTCATGATTTATCTGCCAAATCATGAGATTATAGAATGTTTTAAATACAACAAAGTCCTTAGAAAGTATTCCTTGGAAATGCTGTTTTGTAGAAAATTACGATGGTAAATGCTAGTGTATTTCAGTTTCTTATTTCTTACTCTTGTGAATGTAAAAAAATCATTTGAAAAATTACCCTGTCTTCCCATTTATTTTCTAGAACAGCTCATTTTTAATTTGGTCTGTTGAATCTGTCCTTGTACTTACTGAATGATTGTTGTTTAAAGTATTGGATGTTGAAGATTGTGATTAAGACAATTTTAGAATTTAGGGTATTGACTATAGTATCTTGCTGACTGTTGCCTTTGCTCACTTATCAGCTGTATCTGAAATCCTTCGTGCAAGGAAAGGAACTTAATCTAGGAATGATTACCAATAAATAGCATCTTATTTGAAGAACATTTGTGCTTTTCTTTGCTAAATGGAAATCCTATTAAAAATGCAGTATTATATTTTGCTATTCTGTGAATATACACATAGATAACCACAAGCACACATAGATACATACTCTTAAAATGAGTTAACTGTATGCATGTACAGGAAAAAGGGAGAGTGTAATCATCACCTATTGTAAACCATTTAACTAGCATGCTTTGATGTGTCAGTACTCTTAGAAAAACAGAGCAGTGGACAATGCTCAAGCCTACTCTGCATATGGTTTAACTTCACTGATGCTTAGTTGTCTCATTTCTAAATATGTATACTAGAACCATTTGCACCGAGTAGCTGCGCTAATGAAATGTGATGGCTTGTGTCACACTGAGCACAGTGTTTCTCATACGGAATGCAATACAAATCGTTGCCATACCACTAACTTTTGTTCCCTTTGAGTGAATAAAGGAATTATGACTATGTTCATGTATTTGAGTGCTTTGATCTAGGGATTGTGCTCTAGAATAATCCTCTGAACTTGATTTTCCAAATCCTTTTCTTTATTTTGGTAGCTGTAGAAATAACATGTAAATGTTTCCTGTATTTTTTTTTTTTTTTTTTTTTTGACAGGCAGAGTGGACAGTGAGAGAGAGAGAGAGAGAAAGGTCTTCCTTTGCCGTTGGTTCACCCTCCAATGGCCGCCGCGGCCAGCGCGCTGCGGCCGGCGCACCGCGCTGATCCGATGGCAGGAGCCAGGAGCCAGGTGCTTTTCCTGGTCTCCCATGGGGTGCAGGGCCCAAGCACCTGGGCCATCCTCCACTGCACTCCCTGGCCACAGCAGAGGGCTGGCCTGGAAGAGGGGCAACCGGGACAGAATCCGGCGCCCCGACCGGGACTAGAACCCGGTGTGCCGGCGCCGCTAGGCGGAGGATTAGCCTAGTGAGCCGCGGCGCCGGCCTGTTTCCTGTATTTTAAAGTCATGTCTGACAGGCTCTTTGTTGAGAAGCGCAGCAGATTATGTTGAGGCTAGAAGATATGAAAAATGAATTTGGGGAATCGGAGTCACACTGCAGTGATTGAGTCACTGCTTGGGATACTTGCATCACACTGTCTGATTCCTGGACTCCAGCTTCTTGTTGATGCACACCGTAGGAAGCAGCAGGTGATAGCTCAAGTGCTTAGATCCCTGCCACCCAAATATGAGATCCAGATTTAGTTCTGGGCTCCTGGTTTCTGCTTGTCCCAGCCCTGGCCTTTGCAAGTATTTGGCAAGTGAGCCAGTGGATGGAAGGTGTCTTATTGTCTGTCTCTCTCTACCTTTCAATTAAATGAAAATAAAAATTTAGAAAGTAAAAATTAAATTTTCAAAAGTATTATTGAGTAAAAGTGATCTCTATGCATTACAGTTATGATTTTGTCCATAATGTTAGACTCCTTAGGTATCTGAAGTCCAAATTATGATGCTGTTGGAATATTCTATCAATACCTGTGATTTACTACTTTAAGAAGATAAGTCGCGAGTCATCACTTTAAAATATTAGAAACCAGTGTCTGTGCAATAAAAGCTGACTTTGGGCTAATTCCCCTCCTTGGATTGGAAACCCTGATAGTGCATGAAAAAATCCCAAACCTAACGAGAATAAAATACTCTGCGTTTCAAGAATGGGAACAGAGCACCTTACCTCTGAATTGCTGGCCAAGTGGTGGAACAGCACAATTGATAGGGGTCACGATTGGAGATATGGGAGTAGGATTGTATCTGGGCTATAGCAGGCAATGGGGCGAGGCACATAGAGTGTGGGAAGTGGTATTCAGTGACTGTTGAGGAAACAGGAAGATGGTCTACCTCCCTGTTAAGGTGACAGCGTCCTTGTGTCTTGCTGCCTCTGTAAGGTTAATGTTCATTCTTTCAACTTATTTTTAAAAATTAAGATTTATGTATTTGAAAGGCAAAGTTAGATTGAGAGTGAGATTTTCCGTCTGCTGGTTCATTCCTCAAATGGCCAGAACAGCCAGGGCTGTGCTGTGCTGAAACCAGGAGCTTCATCCATGTCTCCTTGTGAGTACTATCATTCAAGCACTTGGACCATCTGCCAGTGCTTTCCCTGGTGCCTTAGAGAGTAGACTGGACTCAAACTGGTGCTCACGTGGGATGTTGTTACTGC